CTGGAATGTGGCGAATAGGAAAAGTGAGACCCACCCCCAGAAAATTGTTGTATCGCGTCAAAACCTAATTGGTACGTACTCGATCATACTGAAACGGAAAAGGCGGTGATATAATAACGAGTATTCCCGTAATCTTTTCGGTTCCGGATAAAACACAACGCACATGCATGCATATAATAATGTTAAAGATTTTTTGTAGGTGGAAATTTCAAGTGAAAATTATATATATTTTTCGACGTAACCGGGAGAATTTGCGAAAACTGCAAGTATAGGCTATATGGCAGGAATCGAATTAGCATTTCGTGAACCAAAAACAGACTTGTATTTGTAATATGTATATGTATTTCACTAGAATTATCAAACTTATAAGCAGTTTTATTTCAAAACTGCGAAAGGTGAAATTTTCATGCTGTTGTTTTATTCTCAAATAGACCATTTAATCCGCGTGAAATTAAGCATTTGATTTAATAAAATTTAAAAGCATTCAAGGTCAAGGATTTAGTGATTTCCTCCTCTGCACCTTAAGCCAAGGTGATTTCCGACGGCCGATCCTTGACTTAGACAACTTAAATTCGCAACCGTATTTCAGGATAAGCCTGCAGAGTGCTTGTCTTGTCATATAGGATTCATTTCCGAGCCACCTTTATACTTGAAAAAAACCTACACTTCTTAGTTCTTAACTGTCACCTATTTGATTTTCTACTGAGTATTATACTCAGCCTTTCATAATCATTGTTGCTGTATGGTGTAACTCATATAGAAAGTTCTGAGAATTGAAAGGTTAGTAATTTACATTTATTTATTTATATATTCCACGCTATATATTGAAAGAATTAAGCAACAATTCTGGGAAAAATTATTGTGAACATCACGTCCTGTAAATTAATATAAATATTCTTGGTTTGCCGAGTCATATGCTTGCAAAAACAACAATTTCTGCGAACCCTCTCCCGGTTCTCCCCCCTTCAATGTTGAAAGGTTATAAATTAGTTAAAAAGCTTTCTGAAAGGCAGTGTCAAAACCAACACTTTCATTTATATACATATAGATGCCAACATGTATACTGCATGAACAGTGATAGTTTACAGACTCTACAGCTATAAGTGCATGTCCAGGGAATTTTTGCCATGATTATATATAGGTTTGGAGTTTTAAATAATAAAAACAGATTGTATATGTGTCTGTATATATAAAATATCTTTGTTCGTCTGTAAAAAATGCGTCCCCTAATACGAGTTAAGTGTAACTGATATTCATTGTTATTATTGGAGGTCTATTCAATTTTTCCACTGATTACATATTCGATATTTCGATACTGCTATTATCGTAATCCACTTCTCTTTCATTTTCCTTGCAAGTTCTGCAATGAATCGTTCAGCTTCTCTTCCATTTCCCTCATGAGGCGTGAAGATCAATGAAGTAAAGTAATATATGTATGTTCCTTTATATATTTTCCTGATGTTTCGTTGCTCAACTTCTATTACGCGTAGATTGTGCCACTGTCGCTTCTTTTCGTTCTTGTTGCTTTTGAAGGCCGTTGATCCAATTTATGGTTGAGGTCATGACCTTTGCGAAAAGGTTGAAAATCATTACATCATAGAATGCACCGAACCCTTAACCACGCGCACTGACATACAATGGAGCTTCACCTGATGAGTTAGCGCTGCTGGTTAGAACTTTTCTATCAAGGTGAGAAGATGCATGCAGCTCAGCATGAACATCGTGTACATCGTCGTGCCGCCTATAGCCGACAAAACCACCCTTCATACATGCAAGACATGGCATGATCGACATCATATCTCTTACCTCATGGATGATAATGATTGAAGATACTTCGGTGGCCAGCGATATCCAAGGCTGACTGTATCGCAAATTTCATCTATATTAACATTATACTGATACTATACAGACAACTGTACTGAAGACCTAAATAATTAGCTAGGATTTTATTTGACTCATGCGTTGTTTCTCGCAATTTGTTCATTCATGTAAAATATTATATTAGCCTATAATCATTAATTGCTTAATAAACTTCTATTCTTATTTTTATTGACAACTGTATCATATTCCTTTGGTTTGTTGCCAAGCCGGGACCAAAAGGGCATGTGCAGGATCAACCTTTATTTTCTCCACTTCACGGAATGAAAATACTTCATGCTTCCAATATATCGTTTTCAGATTCCACAACAATTTCTCTGTCACGTGATAGTGCTCTGTGACATCACCTCCCCCCTTGATACATTTCACGACTATTATTCAAGAACTCCCCCCCCCCCTAAACGTCACGAATTTTGTATATGGCCCCGCGCATTTGTTCAACATTTTACCACTCCAAGCATAATGTCTGTTAATTAATAAGACTACTTTCAAGTTATACTGTATGTAATTTCATATTAAGATCTATTAACAACCATTGCGGTTTTTGATAGGGTTACTATACCTACACTGTACACCTTCATGCGGCTGACCATACGAGTCTTGACCATGCATCAGAAGTATACTGTATTTAACAATTATTAGTGAGGTTGAGCACGATATGAAGACGAAGTCTGAGGTTGATAACGGCAAACTGAAGGCTTGATAATTCTTCATATTGTGCGAAAACCGAATTCAATCATTGTTTTATTATTTATTTAAAAAATTCAAAACAAACATTTGTATTTTATTTGTATTGGGGAAAAAAAACAATTCCTTAGTCCTTCGGCAGCCGTCGTCGTCGTCATATCAATGGCGTCAGCGAGTCAATATGATTGTTGATATATGACAATTTCACAGTTGGCTGTTAGCCAATCAAAAACCAGGATTTTTTAAAATAAATAATAAACATGTTTATTGTTTGGCCTGCTTCAGCTGCAAACAAAAACAGCCCCTAAGGAGATGATAAGGCGGAACTGGCCATACAAACTACATTCAGATGTAGTTGAATGATTGGTATTTAAGTGCACGAGCCTAGATCAGATAGTTCGTATTCATAGTCATGTTGATGCCTTTAAAGGCGTTACCTTTTCGCTGTGATCGGCTTCACTGTTTAAATCCTTGTTGATAGGAAGCAAGCCAAGGAGACAACTTTTGATTCATGAATCAAATCATATCTCAAATTTTAACAGTACAATCGAATTTGCAGCCATATGCAGTGAGTAAACAAACCAAGATTACAATTTTATCTGGTTAATTGTTGGTATGATCTGCCGTTTTCTTTGAATTTGGAACACCTTGTTATGTTTACCGGAATTTAAGAATTCCTATATATAGATGTAACCAGGATCGTAGGTAAACTTGATAAACTTAGGGCCAAATCCTTCGGCGTGGTTACCATAGCAACACAAAAAACAACGCATTTTACCATCATCTCGTACTTGTCTGCTTCACACTGAGTGCACGTGAATCGTTGTTGATTTAAAGCGTCAGACCTCGGTTAAAATAATGCAAATTGAATTTTATTGATAACATGAATTGTATCCTATATATAATAAAAATAGGCAAAAATACACAAAATATAAAAACAAACTAAACCATATCATAAAAATTGCAAAGAAAGTTTATTATGAAGAACAGTTAATTAAATACAAGAAAAATTCAAAAATGATGTGGAAAACGCTAAATGAACTACTAAATAAACCATCTAAAAATATAAAAGTATCAAAAACGTTTGTAGAAAGTTGTTCATCAAATATAATTGAAGACCCGAATGAAATAGCTAGCAAATTCAATGACTACTTTATTAACATAGGTCCTACTCTAGCAAACAAAATCAAACA